TGGGGGATGAGGGTGCTACTTGGACCTGCTGTGCTGGCTGGGGTGGTGGAGGTGGAGGGGCCGGGGGCGGTGGAGACAAAGCCAGACGGGGCAGCTGGACAGTCTGCAGGGCTGGAGGGGGCGAGGACTCACGCTCCTTGGGCGGTGGGCAGCCCCCTTCCTGGGGATTGCAGGAAGGCCGGGCCCAGGGCTCTGGGCTGCTGGAGCCTGCCTTGCTGTGGGCCAGTGTATCTGTGGGGAGAGAGATGTAGGTAAGGTGTGGGTGCCCCGCAATGTTGTCTTGATTTTCCCTTTCCACCTTCCACCCACCCTGGCCCCTGAGCCATCCTTTTAAAACTGATCATTCTTTGCAACAAAAGCCTTCATACCCAGGGAAGAGAGACAATATAGTTAATAATAACCTGGTGGCCTACGCCAGCCAGCCTTAGCGAAAACAGGGTCCTAGAGGTCCCCAGCTGAGCCAGGCAAAGCCAATGTTCTAGAAGGCTCTGAACCATTTGGATACTCTGCCCCCTATACCTCTCAGGCCTCATTGCTGGGTCCTGGGGAGATCTGTGGGGGCTGGGAGAGAGGTGCTGTGGCTGGAGCAGTAGGGAGCACTTCTGGAGGCTGGGAGAAAGGGCTGTCTCCTTTCTCCAGGATGGCAAGATTTCAATCTCAGCTCTGGGTGTACCAGTTCAGCCCCAAGCCCGCTGGGCTTTCTCCATCTCCTCTCACCTGGAATCTCATTCATGTTCATGAACTTGGAACACAGTCCACAGAGGCTCCCAGATTTCCAGGCCCAGCCTGAACCTCTCCCTCACTCAGCACACCCCCTGGATCATCTATTAATAACACCTCAAACTTACCTGCCCAGAGCTGAGCTCCTGCCCCTCCCCCAACCTTCTCCCTCAGCTACCCTCATCTCAGCCGATGTCAGCTCCATCCTTCTAGTTGCGTGAGCCAAAAAATTCCAGTCTTTCTCTCTCCCAAGACCCCATCCATGTACAAATACCATTGGCTCTACCTTCAAACTAATCCAACCTCTTCTGTCCACTTGCACAGCCCCCACCCTGGTCCAATTATCATATCCCACCTGGACTACAGCAGTTGCCGCCTCACTGGGCTCCCTCTTCCACCCTGCCCCTTACAGTTCCCTCCCTACCAGAGTCTGAAAGGTCCAACTAAAAGACATGTCAGTTATGCTACGGGAAAGAAGCCAGTCACAAAACACCACATATCACATGATCCATTTATATGAAATGTCCAAAACAGGCACGTCTACAGAGACACAAAGTACATTAGTGGTTGTCTAGGTCTGGGCAGATATAAGGGGATGAGGTAGGGGGCGATGGCTAAGAGGTGCAGGGTTTCTTTCTGGAGTGATGAAAATGATCTGAAATCGACTGTAATGATGGTTGCAAGACTGTGAATAGACTAAAAAGCCATTGAACTGTAGACTTGAAATGAGTGGGTTGTACAGTATGGGAATTCTAGCTCAATAAAGATGTTTTAAAAATACAAGTCAGATGTTGTCTTTCTCCGTTCAAAGCCTGTCTGAGGCTCTCATCTCACTCAGAGAAAAAGCAAAATCCTCTACAACCCTAAGGTTCTGTACTACCTGCCCCATTGCCTCCCTGACCTCATCTCCCACCCCTCTTGTTCGCTTGGCTCTGCCACCTTGGCCTTCCATTAGTCCTCATCAGGCCTGCTCCTGCCTCAGGGCCTTTGCACTTACTATTCTCTTGGCCTGGAAAGGTCTTTCCCCAGACACCTGCCTGGCTCCCTTCCTCACCAACTCAGGGCTCTGCTCTAAAAGTGGCCTCCTTGGGAAGACCTTCCTTGATCTTCTATCTTAAAGTACTGGGTTGTCAGAAAAGTCATGATGTATTTTTTCTGTTTTTCATTGCAAAAATGCGTCATGACTTTTCCGACAACCCAATAGCTTCTGTCCCTGTCCTGATCCTACCTGATGTATAGCACTCATCTCCACCTGGTATGGGATCGCTGTGTGTGTTGTCTATCTTCTCTTCCTGATGCCAGCTCCATCAGGCTAGGGCTTTTCTTTTCTTTTTTTTTTTAATTAAAGTTTATTGGGGTGACAATTGTTAGTAAAGTTACATAGGTTTCAAATGTACAATTCTGTAATACATCATCTATATATCACATTGTGTGTTCACCGCTAAGGCATTGTTTTACTCACTGCTGTTTACATTTACCCAGCGCCTAGAACAATGTCCAGCACAAAACTTTTTCTTTAATGAAAAAAGAAAAACTGTGACTTGCACAGAGATGGGCACTGATTAGGCCACCAGGCCCCAGGTCCTTGCAGCAACCCTCTCCCACAGCTCCCCAGCACCAACAGAGGACAGTCCAGCTTCTCTCCAGGGCTACAAAGCCTCAGCTCTGCATCCTTTCCATCTTTCTTCCTTGCCTTAAGGTCAGTGCACAGGCAGTTCCCTCTACCAGGATCACCCTCTACCCACTGCACCACCCTTGCCCAGCTCAAATCTCCTTCCTCAGGAAAGCCTGCCTCCTGCTCCTAGGTTACATCAGAGCCCCCTACTCTTCTCTTTCAAACACAGCCAGTTACCTCCAGTCCTGAATGCTGGGGTCCAGACTTCTTGGGGCGGTGGGGGAGGTTTGGAGGGGACCAGTGACCACGGCTAACAGTTGTTGGACACTTTCCTGGCCACACCCTGGGCAAAGTGGCTGAGCTCTCCTACATTTTTTTCAGAGTCCTCTCAGCCATTCTCCTGGGTAGGTTCTATCATTATCACCCCATCTTACAGAGAAGCTGACTTGAGGCACAGAGAGGTGTCACAGAACTGGTGAATGGTAGGAGGTGGATTTGAACCCAGGTAGGCTCCAGAGCTCATGCTTCTGACCACTGCTTGGGCAGGGGCTATGGGCCCCAGGGTGGTGAGTCTCACTCATAAGGGGCATGAAAACTGCAGCCACTCGGAAATATGGCTTTTCATCTACTGAATACAAGGAACAGAAAGTGGTCCAGCCTTCACTCCCACAGGGCTCATAGGGGTCATGGAGGGACCATTACAAGAGTGAAAATCATATTTATTTGCAACCTTTGGGCCTCAGTTTCCCTACCTGTAAATGGGTGTGTGTGAGAGCATAGGACCAAAGGACCCAATAACATAACATCCCCCTGAGGGCCATTACAGAGAGTCACTGACTTACCTGGGCACGGGTCTTAGGCTAGTACCTGGCATACAGCCAATTCTCAATGTTGTTATTGTTACTGTTCTAGCAAAAATTAGGTCAGAGAGAAATGGTCCTCAGCTCTTCCTCCAGTGTCAACAAAGACACTTCAGGGTGCCCCAGGCTCTGTTTTCTAGTCTTTCAATCAGATCAGTTTCTCTTGTGAGTTTTACACAGTGGGTAATCTCCATGTGAGATTCTAATCAACGATCTTTAAGCACATACCTGCCTCAGGGCCTTTGCATGTGCTGTTTCCTCTACCTGGAGTAACCCAGATAACCACTTGGCTGGACCTCTCCATTCAGGTCTCTGCTCAAATTTCACCTTCTCAAAGAAGCCCTCCCTTACTACCTTGTCTATAGCAGCCCTCCTTCCATAGCTCACTATCCTCTTAACATGATTTAGTTTTCTTAGTTATTACCTCCTGTATATAATGTTTTAGGTTACTTGTTTGTAGTCCACCTCCCATAACTAGAATGTCGGCCCCACAAGGGAGGGGAAATTGTCTTTTCCTGCACAGTATTCCTGGCATCTACAACAGTGCCTGCCTCAGAATAGGTGTTCAATAAATATTTACTGACTGAATGAATGAATAAAGGGATTGCACAGCTTTTGAAGAAATAAGTTTGCCATGTCTGCTCTGGTTCAATGGAGCCATTTCACAGATAGAAATACCAAGATTTGATTCACACTGACAAGAGTCCCAAGTGATTGTATCTCTCTCCTGCTTAAGACACTTTCATGACTACCAAATGCCCTCAAGATAAAGTCCAAAGTCTGACCTTCACTTACAAGCCATGTGTGATTTAATTCTGGCATACTCATTAACTCTCAGTCAATGTTAATTATTGTTATTGCCAAGTAATCTAGCCCAGTAGTTAAGTGCATGGATTGTGAATTGAATACAACCTGTATTCTAGTTTCAACTCTATTACTTACTTGCTGTGTGACCTTGGGTGGGTGAATGAACCTCTCTGAATCACATGATCCTGAACTGCCTTGTTTGATGCTGTCCATGTCCCTCCCTTTCTCAAAACCCTTCAGTGGCTCCTCATGGCTCTTAGGATAACATTCAAACTCCTCACCTCAGCCTAAAGGCCCTGCACGGTCTGGCCTTCATTGACCTCTCAAACCTCATCTCAAAACATTTCCTTTTTTCAATCTGTGTACTCTTCTTCTCCCACACTCCCCAACTGGGAAACTTCAGTTTGGTGAAGCTTTCTTGCCTCCAAGCCCACTGCATATGCTGTTCCTTCCACCAGGAACATTTTTCCGAACTCTTTTTTATCTTCACATTGTATCTCAGCTTTAATGTTTCCTTCTTCAGAAAACCCTCCTTGACCTCCCAATCTGAGTCAGGTGCCCCCTCTGGACTCCCACAGCCCAGCCCTGCCTACTCTGAGTCATCACTGTCTATGTAGGTATCTGTCTTCTCCACTGGATTGTGAGTCCCAGGAGGCAGGGCTGAGAATGTCTCAGTCACCACTGTGTTCCCAACATTGCCCCCAGCACAGGGCAGATGCCTGGGGAATAGCTGTAAAAGAAATAATTCAAAGTCAAGGCTAAATGGGAATTCTTGTACTCAGCTCTCCACACCTCCTCTACTCATGGCATGACCTTGTGAAAGTTACCAAACCTCTCTGAGTCTTTCATTTATAAAATGGTGAAACAGTTCCTACCTCACAGCATTGGCAATTATATCAAGAACTAACAATGTGTTCAAGAGGCCATGTACTAAGCAATCTATGCATACTAATTCATTTAATCTTCACAGCAACCTTTGAGGTGGGACTACTTTTTATTCCCATTTTACAGATGCAGAAACTGACCTGCAACAACTTACCCAAAATAACACAGCTAAGTGGCAAAGTTGTGACTGGAGCCCAGTCTGCCTCAAAAGTCACTACCTTACATGACGTTTAATGAAATGCTGTGTAAGCTGATTAACCCCAGGGGTGGACTCTGGGGCCAGGCTTCCTAGCTCTGGGTTCCATTACTGACTCGGACAGTTACTAGCTGTGGGACCTGTTAGTTAATTCAGTTAACGTTTCTAAGCCTCAAGGTTTACAATGGGGATAACAACAGCACCCACCTCAGAGGGTTGTAGTGAGAATTTGATGAGCCACATAAAGGGCTTGGACCAGTGCAGGGCACACGGCAGACTTTGTGACTGTTTGCTCTTGCTAAGGTGATGGTGAAGGAACTCACCTGCCCGCCGGTCTTCCCTGCGGTCCTCGGACAACACATAGCGTTGGGCACAGGCGCTTGGGGCCGGTGGCTGTGAGGAGGCAGCCGAGGGGGGCTGCTCTGATCCTGCACCAGCTCCTGGCCCCGCCACACCCGGCCCGAGGATGGCAAAAATGGTCTCCTCCTCAGCGGAGAAGGCGTCCTCGGCGGCAGGCCCGGCGCCCTGCGTGGAGTGCGGCACGCGGGCCAGCTTCTCCTTGGTGCGGCGCTTGAAGTCGTTCCAGCGCTTTTGTACCTCTTGGCCAGTGCGCTTCCAGCTGGTGATGCCGTTGATCTTGGTGGCGATGCCGTCCCACACACGCCGCCGCTCCGCCACGCTCACCCGACGGCTCTGTGCGCCGTAGAGCTGCGGGTAGTGGGCGCGCACCTCCCGGATCAGGATCTGGTTTTCTTCGAAGGAGAAGCGCGGCTTGCGCAGCCGGGTGGTCTCTTCCGCTTCGCCCGCCGTCGCCGAGGCCATGGCGCCCCCCGACGCCGCTGTCCGGCCGCCTGGCGCATGGGGGGCGCCGGCGCTGCGGGCACAGGGCGCACGGCGCTGGCGGGGGCTCGGCGGCCCCGCGCTGCCCGCCCCACCCCGGCTGCCGCGACACCGGCTCTTAAGTCCCGGGGGCCAGGGATGGGGGCGGTGGGTGGACGGGGGCGACAGGCTGCGGGGGGCAGTCCCAGTGCCTAATGATAGTTGTCATCCACTGTGCCTAAACACCTCAGTGCCTTCCGCGGCGCAAAGTGCCACGCGGAAGAGTTGATGGAAATTGGGGGAGGGTCTGAAGGGGTGGAGGGAAACCAGGAAAAGCGGAAAGGGGGGTGCCTGCAGGAGTTAGAGAAGAATGGGGACAGAGGGGAATGGGAAATGATGGGGAATAAGAGTGTCTCGGGGGTCGAAGCAGCCTGGGGGTGATGGGGATAAGGAGATGCTGAAGGGGGGATGCAGCAAGAAGGGGGAAGGATGTGGAGCCGAGGATAGCTGTGGGGGTTCCGGGGCAATGGGACCTCTGTAAGACCGTTATGAGAAGGGGTCCTCAAAGGGGACGTTCAGGAATAATGGTGAGTTGGGGACTCCTAGGGCAGTGAGAGCTGGGACAATAAAATATTAGAGTCTGCGGGGATTGTGGGGGCTCTGGGGATTGGCAGGAATTAAAGGGAGTTCTGGAGGTAGTGGGGGTCTGAGATTAGGAGAGGAAATGGAGGCTATGCGGGACTCCTGAGAGAGTGAGGGTCGCGGAGGGTAGGGACTGAGTCGGGCCGCGGGTCACTCACCGGCGCCGCCGCAGCACCCGCCTGCCCGTCCGTCAGGGCTCGGGCTTCTGCGGCCTCTTCCCTCCCCCCGCCTCTCTCCCTCCCCCCCGGACCCCGCCTCCTGCCGCTAGGAGAGCCACGGCGCAGGCGCACCTAGAGCTAGTCGGCCCCCAACGCCCTGACCGCCTGAATTTCACGCCCCTACCATGGCGCAAGCGCAGAATTACCTTCCACCGTCCGCTGTCATAACAGCGCATGCGCCAAACTCTCGTTCGTCTACGCACTCCACGTCTTCCACCGCCGAGATACCCGGGACTCGTTCCTTGCGCAGGCGTAGCAATCTCTGGAGGAGGTCGGAGAGATGATGGAATGAGCGCTGGGACTTAGCGGCGTCCCCGCCTTTTGGACAGTCTTTCAGACCACCTTGCTCTTCAACTATGCCTGTGTCTTTTTCTCTTGGAGAACGTGGAGGGAGGCGGCGCTGGAGGGAAGCGCTTCGTTTCCATGACAACTGCGTGGGTGGGGGGGCGTTAGAAAACGGGATGGCGCCCCTTTATACCAATTCCCGCACCGGGCTGCTCGAGATCTGCTAACCACCTATTACCTGTAGGGGCGGAGCACCCTAGGAATATGCTGCCGCAGGAGGGTAACCATGGCAACCCACCAACCTTCCAGCCATGCCTGGGGACTCTGTCACACATTTACGTCATGAGGCGCGGGGAGGGTGATCTGAAGGAGACCCTCTTGGGTAGGAAGGGTGATCCTGGCGCGGGCGTGACTTTAAGCAAATGCTTGGAGACAGGAATGAATCTAGAACACGGGTTGGGTGAGCTGCAAGGTAGGATAGTGGAGTTAAGTCGGCCGACACATTTGTAGTTTAGCGTCCTGCGGGAGTCCTCAAGGTCATTCATCAAATGGTGTTTCATCTGTTCAACTCATATTTATTGAGCACCTACACAGTTCTAGGTGCAGTGAATACAAAAGAGAAAGACCTGTACCTGCATGGAGCTCACTTTTTACTTAGGAGAATCAGACAATTAGCAAAATAAGATATAAAAGTGAGGTGCTAAGTAAGAAAATGGGAGTAGGAAAAGGGGTTCGAGAATGTGTGTGTGTGTGTGTGTGTGTGTAATAATTTTAAAATAAGGTGATAGGGGAGGGCTCCCTGAAACGGTGACATTTGAGTAGAGACGTGAAGCAGGTGAGGAAGCGAGTGCAGCCAGGGCTGTACCTGTTGTGTTCCAGGATCATCTAAAAGGCCAGTGGAGATGGAGGGAGTCAGGGGGAGGGCAAGGTGGGGAGCCAGATGGTGCAGGGTCTTGTGGGCCACTGTAAGGACTTTGGCCTTTAATCTACATGAGATGAGAGCTATGGGAGGGCCCTAAGAATTAACAGGGTTTATATGAGGTCCCACCATGTTCCCCAAGAAAGCTTAGGATCCAGGAGTCAGGGGCAGTCCATGGAGGGTCTAAAGGAGCTTGAGTGCAATTCTACAGGCAGTGGATTTGAGCCAGGAAGCACAGGGTTTGATGTGTGCTTTAGGAAGACCCACTTGGTTGCTGTGTGGAGGGAGCAATACTGTTGACCAGAGTCAAGGGAGAAGTCTTGGGGAAAGGGCAAGGAGGGGGTGGGGACACGATGGGGGAGACTGGATCAGGGCAGGGATGGTGGGCAGGGTGGAAATAAATTGGGAGACATTTGAGAGGCAGAATGTATAGAGCATAGTGACTGTCAGGCTGGGGAGGGGAAGGGAGACGCACGCCCAGGTGACATCCAGTTCTCTGGCCCAGTTCTCAGGGGCATGGAGTCAGTTAGGATATGGTGAGTGTAAAGAGCTCAGTGGTTCTTATGCATTGAACTGTGTCCCATCAAAAAAAGAGATATTGAGGTCCTACACCTCAGTACTTCAGTATGTGTGACCTTATTTGGAAATAGGTTCATCAGAGATGTCATTAGTTAAGATGAGGTCATACTGGAATAGGGTGGGCCCTTGATCCTACAGGACCGCCACTGTCCTTATAAGAAGAGGAGAGAGACACACAGGGAAGACAGCCCTGTGAAGAGAGAGGCAGAGATTTGGGTGAATGCTGCCACAAGCCAAGGAAGGCCTGAGGGCTGCCAGAATCTGGAAGCAACAAGGAAAGATCCTTGACTCGAGCCTTTGAAAGGAGTGCAGCTCTGTCCACAGCCTGCTTTCGTATTTCTAGCTGTCAGAACCTTGAGAGAATGCATTTCTGTTGTTTTAAGCCACCCAGTTTGTGGTCATTCGTTTCGGCAGGCCTTAGAAACGAATACGCTGGGCATCCAGGGGAGGCATCCAGGATGCTGTTGGCACCACAGGAGTCCGAGGAAGGAGGTGGGTCTAAAGCAGGTCTGGAGCTGATGAGAAGGCTGGAGCCAGAGGGCCATGGGCAGAGGTGAGGCATATGGAACTCTGCAGGTGTGGGCATGTTGAGGTAGGATGCGGGAGTCAAAGGGCAAGGATGGGGTGAGTCAGGGAAGGCATTTTAAGGCATGTTTTCCAAACTGTTCATTTTGACCCATTCGTGGGTCCAGAAAAATATTTAGTGGGTTGCAACCAGCATTAAACAACCAAACAAAATAAAACAGAAGAGGAAAATATCAGAATTCATTGTATGTTGTTATGCTTCGAGGAACTTTTGGGTGTGTTGAGGCCGGATGCAGGAGGGCTAGACCCCTATCCCCTGCAGGTCCCTCAGGTGAACCCAGAGACAAGGGACCCAGGCAGATGGAGAGCACGCAGGGCAGCCTCCTGAGCTCAGAGCAGGCAGACAAGGGATAGAATGGGCCTGGAGAACAACCAAAGACTTCTGCTCATGGGCTTTGTGCACCCATTCTGGCATACTAGAACAGAACAGAGGTGGAGCGGAGGTTGTACATCACGCAGAGAAGCAGATGCTTAAGAGTGACCCCTCCTCCCCCTTCCCTCCAGCACCACTTTGGGCTTAGGAGGGGGAGGGGCAGTTCTACACTCACTTAGAACTGGGTAAGAAAGTTAGAGCCATTAAAGATGGACCTAGAACCCCCACAGAGTTCCTGTTATGCCCTGAAGTGTACAAGCCAAAGGCTGAATCCCTAAAAGTTGTGTTCCCACTGCGGTAATGAGTGTCTACCATTTCGTGGGTCTCGGAAATCGAATTTGTGTACCTGTCAGGGTCCAGGGGTCCTGGTGAGTTGTGACTATTGGTTCAAGCTGATTTCCAATGTTGATCAGAACCTGGGCCATTCTGGAGAATTTTATACAAAAGATAGGGGAAGGTAGCTCCATTAACTAGAGTTTGTTTTTAATCCGTACTGATTATATTTAGCTTTCTTTATGTATCTGTCAATCTGCCCCTTTTGTCTCCTCCTCCTTTCCCTCCTTCCTTCCTTTATCCTTTCTTCCTTTTCCCCTCTTTCCTGCTTCCCTCCCTCCTTCCCTTCCTTCTCTTTCATTCTGGCAATGCACACCTTTCTCCCAGACTTCACTCTCATACACAATTGCCTACAAAATATCCACTTGAATGCCTCATCATGTCCAAAATGGAAATCACATACCCCTCAGGAAATCCTGTCAGCTCTACCCTCAAAATACACCCAGAATCTGCTTAGTTTTGGTTATGTCTATGGTTGCCATGGAGGCATTTTGTAGATGTGATTAAAGTCGATACTTGGACGACTTTAATAAGTAAGATTATCCTAGATAATCTGAGTGGGCCAGACTCAATGGGTTGAAAGGATTCAAGAACAGAACTGAGACTTTTTCCCCTAGATCCAGTTCTTTTTACTGCAGTCCACAAGGAGAAATTCATTTTATTTTATTTTATTTTTATATTTTAAAGATTTTATTGGGGGGTTGGAGGA